TCTGATTACTATTAACTGTTTTATGTAAAAAAAAAATCTATGTCTGACTAAAACAACTGTGTTCTACTTAAAAAATTTTTTTCCGATTAAATTCCTTTATTCTATTTAAAAATAATTCAATAAAACAACACTCATTCTTCGGTTAAAATACTTTCTGACCTAAAAAAACACATTTGTCTGACTAAATATTTTTTTATTCCACTTAAAAATTAAATTCTTTTTTTTACTAAAATACTTTTTCCACTTAGTAATCAAATTAGTCAGACCAAAGGAATTTGACCTACTTGAAAATCAAATTCGACCTCATTTTTGCCAATATTTTAAAATTAATACAGGATATTAAAGTTTTCGAAAAAGTTAACTCACCTCATAATTAAATATTCATACATCGTTTAATCATATAGTTTCAGGATTTTCTCCATAGAATGTTTTAGAAATATTATATTTACACAATTTTTTCAAGTATTTTACATATATTTCTCATTTAAGTAAATGTAAAAATATACATCCAGTGAAAAGTTCTCAACTTATGTAAAAGACTCTTTTTCTATTCAAAAGTCTATTTCTTAAAGGTTTCGTCAAAAAAATTGAGAGATAGCATTCTCGTTTTTTACCGAAAGCTTTTTATATGTTATATGCTCTATTCGATTGACAGGAATATGTATATATATGTATATAAATCAAGATTTGCAAATGTTTCATAAATATGAAAGGAAACTAATATTTGACTACACTTTTATAAATAATTTAATGATCCGCTTTTTTTTCAAAAAATTATAATAAACGATTTGTTAAAAATAATTTTTATTAATTATTTGAAAGATAATAGTTTTCTATCGATTGTTTTCTTTTCGCTTGAATGTTTGGTTTATCGAACTCGATATAGTAATTTGGAAGTAAAATTCCAAAAAAGTGAAAATTGGAGAAAATAATAATCAACTTTTCAAGCAACTTTTTAATTTTTCTTTTTTTAAATTATTTCCTAAATTGAAAACTAAATTTCGTTTCAAATTTCATATTCTAGAGAATTACGTCTTTTTCGAATCATATCTTTTTCTCATTTGATTTATTTTCCATTATTTTTTTTTCCATTCTGGTTAAAAAGAAAGGGATTTAATCACGAGTCTATAATGAACATGTGTTCAATTTTCCCACTCTCTTGCTCTCTAGGCGTTTTCCTCTGGATTTTTGTTCACCCCTTTTTTTGTTCTTATTTTGTATCTAGGAAAATCTTAAGAAACACGTCTTTGCTTTACTCGGCTCTCTTCAAAAAATACCGAGTTTTAAAGTTATCGACGTGTATATAGAGTGTGTATACGGTGAATCGCGAAAACAATTTCAAGACTTGATTTACGGTTGCCATGTCTACCGTGTGTGTGTGTAGTATATAGAAAAAGCATGGACATAGGAGAAGAGAGAAAGAGAGAAAGAAAGAGAGACAAGCAATGGGTGGAGTATAAAGGCCAGGACTTATTTATCGTTCGATCCAACGGAATTTTCTATTCCATCAGAGGTCGATCTTCGCACGTTTACCTGCTATACCGCTTTTCGATCCACAAACTCTCCTTCCATTCGGAAGTGGATCTCTCAAATCGAGCCGATTTCTACGGAAATTGAGTCGGTATTTTCCAGTACGTTGCTATCGTATACGTACATCGCTTTTCCTTCAACGATATTATTTTCGAGAGAACTAAGCGAATTCTAATTTCATTATTATAGAAAACATATAATAATATATGCGAGCAAAAGAGTTTGAACGAACGAAATGAAAATAGTCTGATTCTGATGCAGCTTGTGTACGAAATGAAAATTTTATATTTTTTTTATAATTTTTTCAATTTTTTCAATTTTTTCAATTTTTACAATTTTTACAATTTTTTTTTATTAATTAATGTCAAATTTATAAAATATATCATTTATTAATAATTTTTTAACATAGTTTTTCCAAAGGTTATTAAATTGAGACAAAATATAGATCAAAATTTTTGCGAGGCAACAATTTTTTATTAATGTCAAATTTATAAATAATATAATTTACTAATAGTTTTTCTACATAGTTTTTCTAAGGATAAAACATTGAGACCAAAAATTTATCAAAATTGTTACCTTGCAACAATTTTTATACATTCTTTGTCTCAATTTGATATCCGTAGAAAAACTTCGATCTTATATTCCTGATCGTGAAAAATTATTTATTATTTTTTTTGTGACAATTTAACTGTATAATCTCCTATATTAATATAATTAAGATATTCGTCGTCGTTTTGTCGTCTGTCCTTCGTGTAACTCCGTATTTCATTGTTCGGTCGTTCGACTTTTATCATTTATTCTGACAATGCTACGCATTCATACTTCGGTATCTATGTTAATTTTTATTAAAATCTGTTTTTATGTTTTTTTCCATAAATTCAGAACAAGAAAAAACAACTTTTCCTTTAGACACTTTTCTGTAAAACAAAAATTTAAAAAGTTATCATTTTTTTTCAAAAAGTACCAAAAAAATCAGAATTTGTTAACATTGAAATTTTCAAACTTTGGTATCTTTGTTGATATTTATTAAAATCTGTTTTTCTGTTTTTTTCCTTAAATTTTGTATAAAACCAAACAACTTTTCTTTTAAACACTTTTCTGTAAAATTAAAATTTAAAAAGTTATCACCTTTTTCCAAAAAAGCTCAAAAAAATCTGAATTTATTAACATTGAAAAATTTAAACTTTGGTATCTTTGTTAATTTTTATTGAAATCTGTTTTTCTGTTTTTTTTTCTTAAATTTTGTACAAAACCAAACAACTTTTCCTTTAACATTTTTTTGTAAAACCAAAATTTAAAAAGTTATCACCTTTTTTCAAAAAAATACCAAAAAAATCAGAATTTATTAACATTGAAATTTTGAAACTTTGGTATCGTTGCTAATTTTTATTAAAATCTGTTTTTCTGTTTCTTTCCTTAAATTTTGTACAAAACCAAACAACTTTTCCTTTAAACACTTTTCTATAAAACCATAATTTAAAAAGTTATCGCCTTTTTCCAAAAAAGCTCAAAAAAATCTGAATTTATTAACATTGAAAAATTTAAACTTTGGTATCTTTGTTAATATTTATTAAAATCTGTTTTTCTGTTTTTTTCCTTAAATTTTGTATAAAACCAAACAACTTTTTCTTTAAACACTTTTCTGTAAAATTAAAATTTAAAAAGTTATCACCTTTTTCCAAAAAAGATCAAAAAAATCTGAATTTATTAACATTGAAAAATTTAAACTTTAGTATCTTTGTTAATATTTATTAAAATCTGTTTTTCTGTTTTTTTCCTTAAATTTTGTATAAAACCAAACAACTTTTCCTTTAAACACTTTTCTGTAAAATTAAAATTTAAAAAGTTATCACCTTTTTCCAAAAAGCTCAAAAAATCAGAATTTATTAACATTGAAATTTTGAAACTTTGGTATCGTTGCTAATTTTTATTAAAATCTGTTTTTCTGTTTCTTTCCTTAAATGTTGTACAAAACCAAACAACTTTTCCTTTAAACACTTTTCTATAAAACCAAAATTTAAAAAGTTATCGCCTTTTTCCAAAAAAGCTCAAAAAAATCTGAATTTATTAACATTGAAAAATTTAAACTTTGGTATCTTTGTTAATATTTATTAAAATCTGTTTTTCTGTTTTTTTCCTTAAATTTTGTATAAAACCAAACAACTTTTTCTTTAAACACTTTTCTGTAAAATTAAAATTTAAAAAGTTATCACCTTTTTCCAAAAAGCTCAAAAAATCAGAATTTTTTAAGATTTAAATTTTTAAACTTTGGTATCGTTGCTAATTTTTATTAAAATCTATTTTTCCGTTTATTGCGTTAAATTTTGTACAAAACCAAACATTTTTACCTTTAAGCACTTTTCTGTAAAACCAAAATTAAAAAAGTTATCTTCTTTTTCTAAAAAAGCTCAAAAAAAACAGAATTTATTAACATTGGAATTTTCAAACTTTGGTATCTTTGTTAATTTTTATTAAAATCTGTTTTTCCGTTCTTTGGGTTAAATTTTGTACAAAACCAAACAACTTTTTTTTAAAGACTTTTCTGTAAAACCAAAATGTAAAAAGTTATCGCCTTTTTCCAAAAAATACCAAAAAAATCAGAATTTCTAACATTGAAATTTTCAAACTTTGGTATCTTTGTTCATTTTTATTGAAATCTGTTTTTCTGTTTTTTTCTTTAAATTTTGTATAAAACCAAACAACTTTTCCTTTAAGCACTTTTCTGTAAAACAAAAATTAAAAAAGTTATCACCTTTTTCCAAAAAAGCTCAAAAAAATCTGAATTTCTTAACATTGAAATTTTCAAACTTTGGTATCTTTGTTAATTTTTATTAAAATCTGTTTTTCCGTTTTTTTCCTTAAATTTTGAACAAAATCCAAAAACCGTAATATTTGTATATTTTAATTAAAAAAATTGTAAGTAATAGTGGATGAGAATATTAATTAAGGTAAAAATGATAGTGAAAATTAATTTAGGTGAAAGTGGAAGTAAAATTATATACTCGACCCTTAGATGAATTTAAATTTTTATATAGATTAAAGATTTTTTTGTCAGAAAAAAATAATTTGTAAGTAGAATAATTAAGTAATTATTCATAAATAATTAATTACTTCTTCTAGAATTTAACTCTGTCTGACTAAAACCGATTATACTACTTAAAAATCAAATTTATCTCTTAAAGAATAAAATAAAAATTTGGTGTTCTTCTAAAAAATGTGTGCAGAGCGGAAATTTTGCAAATTTACCACCTCTAATCTAAAATGTCAATAAATTATTCCACTTCCGGTAGTTTCTGTCCGCTTTTTTTGTTCCCACTACAGAATAGCCCTCTCACAAAATTTAATTAAGCCACGGTACATACGGGTTTTCCTTGATACCCCATCGTCCTTTTTTATTAAGCCCCATTTAGTTTGACTAAGAACTTTTGCTGAGGCGGAAGTCGTCGAAAAAAAAAAAACGAATGACTTACCTGTATCTTTGGGTATCCATTTCCCCTCGTTCTTCAGCAATGACCTCATTCAGGTCTCTGTTCGGATCGATTCCTCTTGGGGTCGGGTTATTCGACAGTAGATTCTCGTTGCTCACAAATTCCATCTCGACTTCGTCCTCGTGATACGTTTCCGTCAATGTGTACTCTCTCAACTGAAACGCAAGAACGGACAATTTTTTTTTTTTTTTTATATATTTTTTTAGTAATTCCATATTATATATATGAAATAAAGAATCATGCCTCTTCTCCATCCAATCATATCGATCACAATGCTATTTTTCATTCACAAAATCCAATGATTCCAATTTTTTTCTCTCTTTCATCTCCGATATTTCATCAAAGAAATGAGAGAAATATTCTATCAAACAGAAAAAAAGGATAATTATCCTTTTTTTTAAAAAAGAACAATTTTTTCCCCAATATATAAAGAAAAAAATTAAATTAACTGCTTTTTTTCAACGACACAAAAAAAGGTTGTGAGATCATATATCAAAATATTTGTCCATAAAAATTGATAAAGGAGTAAAAGTTTTTTGAAAAATTGATACGAAAAAAAAAAAATATTTTTCAAGAAATGGAAAAAGTTTTTTCTACGCATTTTCTGTAGGTGGAAAAAAATTAATAAAAGTGATATAAATATACGTTGTTTGGGAGGGGGAAGTGAAAAAGCAAGATTTTTTCTGTAATAATTTAAAAAAATGATTATAACGTATATCAGAGCTTAATTGAGGAATTAAGAATGAAATGTATATAAGGATTTCATCTCGTGTCGGGTGAGAAAGGAAAGATTGAAACAAATTCGCAATTCTGTCGACGTTGCTAATCCAATTCTCGGTGGACACAACGAGGGTCGAGACCTTTCGTAGGTTGGTTTTTCTTGCCACCCTTAAATAGTGGATCGTGTGTCTTTGCCGAATGACTATTCCTAACAAAGCAGCGGTTCGCAATAACCAAAAAACATTGTCCCTGGGGACAAGTAATATTTATAAGTTTTGTTTTATTTTATTGCACGTATATGAATATATCTTTATCGATGTATTTTATAATAAATCGACAAATTTTAAGATTTTTGATATTTTTTTCTGGAAATTTCAGCATATAACTAAAAATGTATATTATTTTGCAATATAATATTATTTATAACTTATATAAGTGATTTTCCACATATTTTTGAATTATTATTTTTTCAATTTTTCAAAATTTTGTCACCACGGAAAATTGAGGAATATTATTCTAACAGCAAAAATGGATTTAAAAATATAATAAAAAATGTTTTAAAAATTATTTCTTTTTTTATTTAGACATATTTTTGGTTGGAGTTTTTCTAAAACGTATTTTTTAATTTTTTATTTTCTAAAAAAGTTTTTTTTCTAATGTAAGGTGAATTTTTTAAAAAAAACTTTTTTCTAATGAAGGTGATTTTCTAATTTTATTTCTTCTAATAAAGGTAATTTTCTAAAAATTTATTTTTCTAATAAAGGTGATTTTCAAAAATTTTTAATTCTTGAAAAAAAATAATTGCGATTTCGTTAAAAAATTATAATAAAAATAGAAATTACGAAAATTTTTTAACAAAATAAAAATTAAAAATTGTTATTAACGAATAGAAATTTAAAATTTTAAATAGAAATTAAAAATTAAAAATTTATATTTAAAATTTAAAATATATATTTAAAATTTTCTAAAAAAGCGTTTAATAAATAAATTAATTTTGGAAACTTTAGTGTAAAAATGATGCAAATTATTATATTTTTTTCAAAGTAGAACAGAATTTTCTCAACAAATTGTGATTAAAAAATAGTAATTTTATTAAATTTTTTCTTGTTTCCCAAAAAGAAAATTATAATTTTGTAAACAGAATTGTGATTGAGAAACAGAAAATATGCAAAATAGTTTTTAATTCCTAATTTCAGTTTTTTTCAACAATTTTTTAACTTTTATCAAAATTATGGAGTTTTAAAAATTTTACAAAACCTTTTTCTCGAAATCCTTTTTAAAAAACCTTTTTTTTAAACCTTTTTAGAAAAATTTTTTTTAGAAATCGAAAATTGTTACAAAATTTTTTTTTTGGAAAACAGATTTTATTAGAAATTGTTTTTTTTTTTAGACAAAAAGAAATAGAAAATATTTTTTCAGAAAAAGTGACCACCTACCCACATTTTTTTGCATGGAAAAAATAAATCGAAAAATGATTTTTTTTAATCACCATTAACATATTGTTAAAAAAATATTATTTTTTAATGTTATAAACAAATTAAGCTAACAGCTGAGTTATTCATAGTCGAAACAGCATCTTTTTTCTAATAGTTTACTAAATTTTTTTAAAAATTTCTCAATTTAAAAGATTACCTACAATTATTTTTAAATTAATTTTTTGAAAATCATTAAATTCTTGCAAAAAATTTTATGGAGTGGAAAAATTTGAAAATAAATGAATTTCTTCGTAGAATTTTATTATTTATGAAAATAGTTGAATTCTTGAAAAGAATTATTTTTTAATTTTTGAAAATCATAATTCATATTCTTTAGAAGAATTTCTTTGAATTTTCTTTCGAATATAATGGAGTTTCTTTAATAATTTTAATTAAAAATTTTAAAAGTAATTAAATTTCATGAATAACTTCTTTAAAGTTTTTAAAATAATCGTTTTTGTTAATATTTATAATTAAAATTTGATTTTTATTGAATTTTTTACAAATTATGTTTCAAATAATTAGATTTTCGAAAAGATTTTTATTATTTTACAATTTACTTGAATCAAATAGTTTTTATTTAAATTAATTCAATGGTATTTTAATCAAATACTAAAATTATTGACTGAATTATAATTTATTTGATTTAAATAAAAATTATTCGGTTCAAGTAAATATATATATTCAGCTAATAGACAAATAATCTTTTAGTTGATTCAAATAAATTTTTTTTCTTTGTAGAAAAGATTGAAAAATACAATTTGATTTATCAAATTACTTTCACAAATACATAATATAATTATTCAAAGGAATTCAATTATTTTCAAAATTTTTGTTGAGATTCTTCGCACGAATTCAATTATTTTTTTAAATAATAAAATTATTCGCAAAAATTCAATTATTTTTATAAATAAAATAATTTTACGCAGGAATTCAATTATTTTTAAAAAGTTTAATAAAATTCATTGAAGGAATTCAATTATTTAAAAAAAATTTAATAAAATTCTTCCCAAGAATTCAATTGTTTTCATAAATAATATAATTGTAGTAGTAAAGTATGGTTGTGAACGTTTAATTTTAAAGTAATTATTGCGCATGAGTGACAATGTATAAAGGGGGGTCATCACCAGTAATAAGACGGGGGGACAGTCTGTAACTTACCGCGAATAAATTAAGACGTTGCTCTACGACTAATAAATTATATCTGTATATTAATAACTAATCTGTTTTATTTTATCATTTCCTGACAAAAACATTACTACAGTTTTCAGAAGTGGGATAAGAAAACCTAATAAATCGGAATTCGGACTTTTTATTGAAATTCTCGGTAGTTTGGAAGCGCGTCGTAGAGCACGTGGTGACGCCATTAATGAGTTTATAGTTATTCTTAAATTAGCGGTAATAATCTTGAGTAGACCGAGACAGACTCAAAGTTTTTAAGTAGAGAAATTGACTATCAGATTCTGAGTGTAAAATTTGTCGAATTCGTATGAGTATAACGAAATTTGCGAGTGCTGACTTAACCGGAAATGGACTTGAGACGCTGAGTGTGATCGCCATGATTAGTGTTCCTCAATTGAGTGTTGTGGAAAAGAAGTTAATCGATGATTAAAATTGGAGTTCGTGAGTTGAAATTAAACTGAGTGCAATTTGGGAATATGCTGAGTGCATAAGTGGAAATTGTGTGTGTCGATCGAAATAAAGCCGAAAGTTTTACGGTGGTAAACCGGATGTGATCAGTTCTGGAATTTTCCAAAAGTGTAGAAGACGATAGAGTGGTGCCATCTGAGTGAACAGGGCATAAGTTACTCAGAATTGTGAATAAAGTGTAAATTCGAGTAATCGGCAACATGGTGAAAAACCCAGGTGATTTCTTGCTCGTTCAACTCAGGGAAATGTTGAAGAGAAGGGGGCTATCAACGAGTGGGAACAAAACGGAACTCATACATCGATTACAGGAGTATGACCCCTCCGACGCCTGGATGAATGATGATTTGGAGACTGAACCCCCTCTTGTCGACCCTTCGTTGGGAGGTACTACAGGAGGTAACCAAATTGATGATGGTGGTGGGGATCCTCAGTTAAACGACGCGGAGTACCTTAGAAGAGAGATGGAACTTATTAGGAGAGAGAGGGAATTGCTTAATAGAGAGAGGGAGTTCACACAACGAACACGACCAGCAACGACTCTTTCTGGAGACAGCCGAACAAATTCTCAAACTAATTTGAGCATCAAAGCAATAAGCGATTTGTTGGGCGAGTTTGATGGCAGTAACAGGGATTTCCAAGAGTGGCAAAAACAATTGCTGCTTTTGATTTCCACATTTAATCTCGAGGTTAACATGTCAAGAATACTTTTGACTTCTAAGTTGAGAGGAACAGCACTGCAGTGGTTTCACTCACGGGCGAATCATATAGAGATGGAAATAAATGAGTTGCTATCAGAGATGCGAAAAATGTTTGATCATCGACCTAAGAAACTGGAACGACGACGTCTTCTCGAAAATAGACAATGGCAAAAAATGAATCCTTTAGTGATTACTATCATTCTAAATTAATCCTTGCCAACCAGGTGCCAGTCGAGGAGGATGAAATAATTGAGTATGTCATCGATGGCATTCCTGATGTGCAGTTGAGGAATCAGGCCAGGATTCGAGGATTCAGTACTCCATCGAGCTTGTTGGAGGTTTTCTCAAAAATAACTCTCACGCATGAAACAGCTGGAAGACAAACGAAAAGTGATTCGAGGGTGACTGAAACAAAAACCACGACGAGAACAGAAAGCGAGTCACAGAAGAAGGTGAAATGCTATAAATGTCGGAAACCAGGACACATGGCGAATCAATGTCGACAACCAACAAAACAAACCTGTTATCACTGTGGTGAAGAGGGACACATAGCTCGAGATTGCAGTAAGAAGAAGACAACAACAACAACAATCAACTTTGTGGATCAATCAA